CGGCCTTGGTAACGCCAGCATTGGTTATGGGCAAAAGCGACTTTCCGAATTCGGCAATATCTGATTGGGTGACACGCACGCGACGAGGATCGAAGGTATTTCACCATCGGATCAAGGGAAAAGTTTAGGAATTGACGGTGGGAAATGGGGATGTACTTTTTTAAATAGTCTGAATTTGTAGATTAACTAACTTTTTCGTTTACCAACATTACTCTATTGATCTGGTTTATGTTATTCTAACTTGAAACCCTAAACCCTAAACCCTAAACCCTAAACCCTAAACCCTAAACCAAACCCTAATACACGAACCAATCAATATCATATACTCTACAACAATAAGAACACCTTATAGGCTTATACCGTAACCAATCAATAACATATATACTTTAAACCATCAACACCTTGCTCCTCCCTTATACGTCCATAACCTTCAAGACCTTATAGTGTATACCAACAACACCTTCTTCTATCTCCATCCCCAACTTTCAATTTATAATAAGTGTTTCCTTTGAAATATAAAATGGAACCCACCTTGGCAATTACTAGCATAATGTAGGGATGTAGATGAATAGAAATTGTTAAGTGATGAATTGCTAAAATTGATGATGTGGCGGTAGGGACCTCGTTTAGAAATTGTTGTTCAATTTTAGGGATGAAGATGATCAATACACTAACCCAATACCATATACTCTAAACCATCAAAACCTTATACAATATCTTATTTTAGGGATGGAGATGATCAATACACTAACCCAATACCATGTACTCTAAACCATCAACACCTTATACAATATCGTATACCTATACGCTGATAAATTAAAATTATAACTTGCTTTTCAAAACATAAATTAAAAATTGATACCTCACTAAGTATCGAACCACAAACCTCTACTTTATTGACTAAGCAAATAAGAGACAATTAACCAATTAAGCTACATCACATTGATGACCATCTTGCATAATTTCGCTTTCTTATTGAGTGAAGGGTTAAAATGATCGATAAATATATCACAGGGGATTGTTTCAACTTCGGCGGGGACTGAGAGAGTGGAAAAGGGGTAATTATTCTACCAAAACAGAAAAGAAAAGGGGGAATTAATGAAGAGTTAAATTGGACGGATTGTCTTTACCACGCCACTACAAAATCATTCGGAGCAAAAACAGGCAGGTTCAAATCAAACAATAAATTATCAGCATTTATAAGCAGATATAAAGCATTTATAAGCAGATATAACGAATTATGTCTTAGTAATAAGGCATGATCAGCATTTATAAGCAAATATAAAGAAAATATATAATCGAGAAAAAATAAGACAACACCTACCCTCACCCTTTAACCAATCGATACCATATGCTCTAAACCATCAACACCTTATAACCTACCCATATACCATATACTCTATACCATCAACAACCTAATACCCTAAGCAGTCAGTACCCATTTCCTCTAACATCAACACCTTATACAACAATCGTATACCTATACGCTGATAAAATTTTACATTTTGAAAATACTTGCCCAACTAAAGTACATAGGTACTTCAAAAGTTAAACTCTAACTTTCGTTTCAAAACATAAATTCAAAAAATATCCTCACTCAGTATCCAACCACAAGCCTCTAATTAGTCTACAAGAGGTTTGTTATGTACGAGTGCATTGCATAAAGAGGGGAAATCGGTGAGAGAGTGGAATGGGATCTCAATTAATGAAGAGTTAAATTGGGCGGATTGTAGTTTACCTCGTACCGCTAAATGTGTAAAGAGACAGGCTAGCATTTACCAAATTCCAAAAAAGATGGAACACAGAATTATGTTTAAATTGCGTGAACTCAATGAATGATCAGGATTTTAGAAGCAGAAGCAGATGAAAATAAGTAAAACAAAGAATCGCCACTGAGAGTCTGAGATAGACAATTATCAAAGGCCCAACCTAATGACAATCCGGAACTCAGTATCTATTATCAACAAACTAGGTGTCATGGGTCCATGTACAAGCCCACGTTTGAATGTTATTTAAAAGCCTGCAAAAATCAATGATCAGACCCAGTCCAACTAGAATTAGTCCTAAACGCAGCGTTAATACATAAACACAAATTAAGGAGACCTCTCCATCTGATTCGAATCAAATTAGGTCTTCTTCATCTCCTTCCTCAATCCTCTGGGCGAGACGAACACTGCATATCAGGAAACCTTAATTTCACCGAGTGATAGAAGTTTCGAGAAAATGACAATAACGCTAAGACAAGATTACAAAGCACTAGCTACATGAACCCTAGGATTAGCAAATCTCTTTCAAGGGTTCTTTTGCAAACGAAAAGTTTGATGAACACAATAATAGATAGGTCGCCGTAATCGTGTTAGAAAGAGTAAGGCGAGTAAATTCCGCACGGAAATAAAATGGCGATGAACAAAACGTCGATTTGTGGATAAAAGGATTTGGGGTTCTAAACGATGATTATGTGAGGATTTCATATTGGATGGGGATCTTCTCTTCGAATGTGGATACATAGATTTGGCGTATGAAACATGATGATGTTGGGGATTTGAGATTGGATAGGGAGCTAAATCGAATGTGGATCAAATAATAAAAGGATTTGGGTTTCGAAACGATGATTTTGTTGGAGATTTCAGATTTGATAGGCAGCTTATGATCGAACTTCGAACTTAGAGTTAGAGGGGACCCTCCAAGGCGAATGAGGGATCGTAGAAGGGAGACTGGAAATTGGTTAGGGCGGCGGGTCGTATCCATAGGGTTTAACCTCTTAATCGCTATCATTAAACCGGGTACAGTTAGGTTGAAGTCCGTAGAAGTCACCATAAACGCTTCGTGATGCATTTGGTAATTTTCCTTGCCCCCGGTTACCCGTACCCCTGATTTTGCCCTGGGCACCGTAGAACTGCCCATATATATATATACATATATATATATATATATATATATATATATAAATATATAGTAATACGTGTATTGCTCACAATGAATCAATTTAGATATCATCAAAAACCAATCAATTCTGTTTTTTTTTTTATCATATAAAAGTCAACTAATTCAACCAATGAAATAGTGATGGATTTGGATCTATGATGTACTTTGTTCAAAATTCATTGTTTGCTTCAACTATTTAGAGGTAACAAATCCGTGGACCGTGGGAACCATGAACTTTGAGGGTCCAAATTCGTGGGCCTCACACTTGAAAATCTCACCTCTTTAGACAGGAATTAATCATGGATTTTGAAATTCATCATTTTTACCAACCTACCCCTCATATTTTATTTTTCTTCTTATATAATTGAGGACAATAAAGGTAAATTTCACTTCATATATACAAATTTAAGTAACAAAATCCATCATGTAATCCATGAAAAAACTATAGTGTTTTTCAAATCCATAATGAACCCAAAACCCTCATATATCCATGGGTTTTTCAAAACTCAAGTTATACCAAAACTTCATTTTTCAAATCCACGAAGCAAACGACCCTAAACTTTCGTTATTGAGTGGTGGATTGGCAATAGTCTCTTAACATTGACTCATCAAGGAAAGGAAGGGAGCAAGGTTGTCAAACCCATTTATACCATTGTGCCAGTTTAGTAAGTGGCATGGTTAATCCGGTGATACAACAAGTGTGTGTTAGTTTAATAAATATGTAAAAATACAAAAAAAAATATTATTAATATAAATGAATTTTAACATATATGAAACATATTTGAAGACAATTATTTACAATTTATATTCATATTAAATAAAATACAACATTCCAAACCAAATAATAAATACTCATACTGAAATACAACATTATAGTTCAACACCGAAAATTTTATACTTAAATCCAACAAATAACATAAATATTTATTTTTTAAATTCACGAAACAAATCACAAATTAATTTTTTATTAACTAAATTAAATAAAACGACATCATTTTATTTATAGACCAAAAATTTATCGTACCTATTATACCAGTGATATTTATGCCAGTTTCATAACCAGAATTAGTGTACAGTTTTAACCAACCGGAATTCCACCGAAGTGACAACCATGGAGATGGAAGGGAGTCTTGGTCAGATAAAACATAAAACTAAAAAGATAACTCTTCAGGATGTTATACATAATAATTTCGAGTTTAGAGATTTGGATAGAAACTGTGGCTAAGTTGGAGCAACCTAGTTAAACTACTCATAAGGTAAATTATGAGTATATACTTACAGAGATAAGGAAAAGGGGGTCCAGAAATTAAAAAAAAAAACTGGCCCATTTTCACTATCCAGCTACAGAGAAAAGGGAGCCCACAAATTAAAAAAAATCATATGTGAGTCTCCTCCTCTCATTCCATCACTTCGTCAAAATAACACATCCACACAAAACAAATATCCAAACCACTCATAATAATATCCGTTCACCATAACAAATATCCTCTAAGACCAATATCTAGTCAGCCCATAATTAATACCTCACCATAGAGACTAATATCCACCTCACACAAACTAATATCTGACAATCGCAAACAAATACCCACGACGAATAGATTAATATCTGACCATCACAAACAAATATCCACGACGAACAGATTAATATATGACCATCGCAGACTAATACCAACAACACATATCCGAACCAGCTAAACTATTCTCTATTCATTGCAAACTAAATTGTTTAATGGGCCGAAGACCCATGGGCCCTCGGCGGACAGCCCTAACTAAGATTGCAAGCCTTATGCGTTAAGATTTGATAGTGTGTTTAGTTTTGATGGAAAACACAATATCTATTACTTCGCAAACTAATATCCATCGCATGAACATCATTATATCCTATCATCACATACTAATATCAGTACGTTGGGAATTTAATGGGCCATCACTTCTCCTTTTTCTTTACCCTTTTCTCTTGTCTCTGTAAGTATCTACTCACAACTTATCTTTAACTTTTTCGAAGTTGGAGGTCTCAAATGGTAAATTTTAATCGATAAAGGGAACTCCGTGTATACGAAAGAAAGGGGGATTAGGGTTCTGTCATTTCTTCGTCTTTTCGAAAGTTCAGTGCGAGGAACACATTGATTAGCCAGTAGCCAGAATGAAAGCGCCGTCCCAGTGTAATGCCGATAGAATTAGCAACCTCCCCCACGATGTGATGCAGCGCATTGTCACGTTCTTACCCGTAAAAGATGCAGCCAAAACAGCTGCACTGTCAAAACAATGGAGACACAACTGGGGAGCAACTACCCAACTGGTGTTCGATGCCCATTTCGGCCGAATCTCAAAAGAGGGAAACTATGATTCGAATGTGAGTAGGCTGATGTTGCAGATTTACAAAGCTTTGCTGGTTCATGATGGACCCATAACCAAGTTCGTGCTTGAAATCCCTGGATTAAGGCGGCCTTCTCCTGATATCAACCACATGGTTCAATTCCTCGCCAAGAAAGGCGTCCACGAACTCACCCTTATCTTCGACGACGACGAAGTTAACAACGGCCAAACAAAGGTTGGGCGCGAGATGCCTTCCTCCTTGTTTTCTGCTCGCCAACTCAGCTTTCTGAAAATGCGGAATTGTGATTTTTCTTGGGCACCATCCTGGTTTCTGGGATTCACTAAGCTTACCCATCTTTGGTTAGTAAGCGTGAATGTGGACTCTAGTTTTTATGACGATTTCCTTCCCAAGTGCCCTCTTCTCGAGCACTTGACACTTGGTGTCCGGGACTCGAATGCGATCGAGTCTTGTTTGAAGGCTGAATTGGTAGCTCCTTCTCTGAAATTTCTTGCATCCAATGTGTGGAATATCTGCTTCAAGCATGCCCCGCTTCTTTCAGTGGTCTCTATCGAACCACTGTACGAGGATTATACACAATGCGACTTTCGTGTGTATGATCCGGATATTGCAGCTGTATTTGCTTCTCTCCCTGCAATCCAGCATTTAAGTGTTGGCGGGGAATGGCTGCAGGTAAGTTATAATGTGCTTTCATTTCAGTAACCGTCTGGCTGTCTCTAATACCTTGTTCACTACTTCACTATCATAATGCTGCTCTATATTTTTAATATAACAGGTCTTTTGTTTTGCTCTCTAGTTCTTTGCCTCAGGTACTATCCCCTCCATGCTTCCTACACATCTTCGTCAACTGACACTCCTCGAAGTGGCCAGCATTGAACTAAACAGTTCATTGGAAGCACGCGTTCTTCTTTGTCTAATCATGAGTTCCCCCAACTTGCAAAGGCTCCGCATTTGGGTTGGGTTTAAATGTCTTATTGAAGTGAAAACTTTAGTTACAAAGCATATGTCACTATGTCAGAATTGCTGTTAATTATATAGCTTGACCCTTTTTCTTATTCATGAATGTTTTTGTAGCCCAGCGATGCCCACTCCTTTAGGCCAACAAAGTTTATTGACAGCTTACAGTTACTGATAGAAGCAGAGGACTTCCCTCCTGCGAGCTATTTTCAGTGCCTTGAAGAGTTTGACATGTATGGCTGTGACGGTGCACAGGTTGAGCTGGACCTGGTGAGGTTAGTTCTAACTTCTGCCCCTCGGCTTCGTCGGGTTTTCCTTACTATGGAAGAAGATTTGGACTACCAAGAGGGTTTTGAATTCTTGACGAAGGTGACACGATATAAGCGTGCTTCCACAGAAGCTGAGGTCATATGTGTTTGAACAAGGAGGATTTCTTGGTCATAGCTCTTTCGACCAGTAAGGCTAGTAGCTTGTAGCTTACTCTCTCCATCCCTCTGGTTCGTCTTTCACTTATTTCTTTGACATTACAGTACAGCTCATCATTATTTCTAAATGACTTGAGGATATGTAATCAATGGTTCAATGTGATTTTTGGTGATGAAGGGTTACTGTTTTTTTCTTGTCGTAAGGTTACTGTTACTTGTTTAGCCTTAACAGTTTGTTTGCTGTGATCAGTTGTTACACCTGGAATCAGACTTGATCCCTTATTGATAGAGCTGTTAGGTTCTACTACGTTGCATGAAGAAAACGCTAAAGCCTAAAGGTGTTTTGAATGGAAGATTTGTAGATAGATGGGATCTGTAACATGAATAGATTGGACTCCCGAAATTTTGGAGTAGGTACCATGGTAGAATTAAGCATGTTTCTAGAGATTTTAAAGTCATATACCTGTGAAACGATCAGGGACTCTAATGCCTTTAGAATTGTCATGATACTACTTTAGTTATTGTTTAGTTGGTTCGGGCTTCTGGTTTTACTTAGTGTTGATATCCTGAGAAAGAAACAGATTGTTGCGGCTAGTGGTGAAGGTCGAGGACTCGAAGTGTTGATGAAGCGGCAAACTGATTTAGGAGAAACTAATGGCGTTATAATCTGGAAGAAGGGGAAGGGCTTGGAAAGAAGAAACCAAAAGGATGACTTCAGGGGCTTGTACAGAGAAATTAAAAGTTATAGGCTCTGAATAGGAAATGTGGTTAAGGGTTGGTTTGGTTGTGGAAATTTTGACCTTAATTTCCACATCCTACAAAATCAAAGAATTATCTTGTGCAAATTGAACGGAAACCATGTTTGGAAAGAGATTATTTTTGTGGAATTGATGGTATGGAATTTTGAGGAAATAGTAAAATTGATTCATAACCACAACCGCTCTTTGGATTTATTAATTTAATGAATGTGAATTTTAAGAAAATTGTAGTGGTAAACTATGAAGGGAAGGGATTGGACAGAAAATCCAAGATAAACTGTAGGGGATTGCTAATTGAGGGAGCTGGAAAGGAAACAGAGGTAAGTTAGAGGATAGGGATGGCAAAAATATTCGTAACCGTGGATATCCGTCCGAATCTGACTTAATTGGGTAGGGTAAAATTCGAACTCGAAGGACTTTTAATGGGTCCGGGTAAAACCCAAACCTGAATATTGCGGGTAATGAGTGGACATGATTTTCTCACTATCCAACCCGAACCCGCCCGATTACACACATGCATATGTATTTTATCTAGAAATAACCAATATTTTTCTCTAACATATTTTATATCTAGCATATAAATATACTATTTTTATGAAATTGTGTTGTTTAAATTAATTTTCTTCATTCTAGTGAATTATTGTCGTACTTTTCGTCTTACGTAACGTGAGAATACGTGTGAATATTAACATATTGGTTGGAGTTATAAAGAGAAACTACTACCCATGGATAACCGTCGATACCCGAAACCCGAACGGGTACGAGCATGGTTTGAATTTTCTACCCGTTTCTTATGTTGGTACTGGTATGGGTAAAACCCGAACTACTTTGGGTAGGATAATGGATATGCACTATTCGTGACCGACCCGACCCATTGCCATCCCTATTAGAGGACCGAAATGGTAGTTTACTGGGAACTCAACTGCCCTGCGGACAGAAGAAAGTGAATTAGGGTTCTACGATTCTTCGTCTCTTGCGAGAGTCCAGTGCAAGCAACGCATAGCTAGCCTAGAATGAAGGGCTCGTGCGGGTCCAATGCCGATAGGATTAGCAACCTCCCTCGCGATGTGATGCAGCTCATTCTCACATTCTTACCTGTAAAAGATGCAGCCAAAACAGCTACACTGTCAAAACAATGGCGGGAGAATTGGAGAGCGAATACTCAACTCGTGTTCGATCGCGATTTCAGTCGGATGTCCAAAACAGAACTTTATGCGTTGCATTCGAGCAAGCCATTAATGTTGGAGATTTTCAAAGCTCTACTGGTTCCTGATGGACCCATAACCAAGTTCGAGCTCATAATCCCCGGATTAAAGCCATCTCCTGACATCATGGATCTCATTGTGGTCTACCTCTCCAAGAAACACGTCCAGGAATTCCTCTTGGCCTTTTCTCATCACCTTGACGACGACGGTTACCCAGCAATTGACGGCAAGGTTCCTCCTGCCCTGTTTTCTGCTCGCCAGCTCAACTGTTTGAAACTGCATGGTTGTGAATTTACAGCACCATCTTGGTTTTTGGGTTTTAGTAACCTAACCTTTTCTTGAGCTAACTCATGTAATTGTTTCCCCCAATTTTTACGGCGATTTCCTTCCCAAATGCCCGCTTCTCCAAAGTTTGATGCTTTATACTTGCGCCTCGGCTGCTGTGGAATCCCATTTCAAGGCTGAATTAGTAGCTCCTTCTCTGACCCTCTGTTTTTTAAGAAGAGAAAGGGAGGGGAAGGGAAGGGAGGGAGAGAAATTCCAGAACCCAATAACTTTTCCACCGTTCTCCAAATTTGCTACAGGACCGGAGGGAAGGAAAATGTACTGTTTTACCTGACCTTCCAATTTGGGAGGAAAGCCATCTTCTCAAGCATTTTCCTATTTTTCATTTTTTTTTCTTGCGTTTTGTTTTGCTTTCCACTACGTTGGATGGGTAAACGATTTATGGAATTTTATTTTATGGTCACATATTATAAGATTATCTAATATAATTTATTATTTTATCAATTGTATGGTTAATTAACGAATAAAACATTATTATTAACTAATACCTTTTTTTCTCGTGCGTTGTCTATTTTCCTTTTTCGTTTAAGTTGTATTTGTGTAGGGATGTGTGATAGCAGTGAAATAAATGACAAAAATTGTTAATTTATAATTTATTAGCACATATATTGCATTTAACGTGGAGAAATATTAGGAGATGTGATAATTACTAATTCATTGTTTTTAGGGTTGAAGAGATAATCTTCGACTAATTTTGGAGGACGATAATTAAATTAGTGAAGTCCGTGTGTATTATTTTAGATTGCTTACTTAACTACGTAAACTTCTAACATGATATTATATACACTACCGACTTAGATGACAGTAGACGATTTTTACGGTCCAACTGGCGATACACGAAAGAACAATATTTATGGCTAACTATGATGCTAGACAATTCTACTCTTATTTGTATGATATCTTTGTGTATCATTATATAATGGTGACAAATATTTTTCTCACCGGATCATGGTCAAAACATCTATTTTTTTATTTTAATAATGAACAAAATTAACAAGGAATAATGTATTTGATCCAATTACGTGGAACGTAAATGTGTGTTAAGTTTCAAGTATAACGACATCAGAGTGTTACATTTTTTAAAGAATGGACGTTATCTTGTACTACAAAAGTAATCAAATTTGTATGAAAAATAAAAAAGAGTTAAATGAACAATTTATGTTCCGTTAACAAATAACAAAATTGATCATGGTTATGTAGAAATTGGTTATTCATAATATTTATTTTCGCATTTTTTGCATATACTTACTACTAGCTTATTACCCGGCCCGTTGGCCGGATTACTGTATGTTACCCACTTGTGAAATGGGAGAGAAAGCAAGTGAGAGTGAAGGGATTGGGATTCCACTTGATTAGGACCGACCCACTAATCCAATTCTTCCCGACCCGCCCCAACCTACAGGGTCAGAAAGAGTCAATAAAAAAATACGAACAGGGAGGATTAGTCATATATCTTGACCCTTCAGAAGTGGGTCAAACAGGATCAACGTTGGGTGAGGGCAATTTTTAGCGCTAAGCAGAGTTCTGAGTTGAATACCTTTACTTAGGCCTAGAAATTGGTGCTGATGCAGACTGCAGTTTTTATTATACCATCATCAATCATCATTGAATTAGTCCTGGGCGTCCCACCCCGTTGTCGGTCTGAATTCTAATGATGGCTTCATTCCTTGCACCAGCCATATCAGCGAGTTGCCATCTCGAGCATGATTTGCCTATGTACAAATAATACAATTAGAGTATGAAAATGAATTCAATGAAAAGGAAAAGAGAATTCTATCACATGCCAATAAATACACACATAATAGTTGAAGCTAAGTGAAAGTCATTACTCGCACATCAATTCTCAAAAATTATAGACTAAACATTGGCTAGAATGGCACTGAAACTACCAAGAATCATGGACGAAACAACTTGTCAAATTAAAAAATCCTTATACTGAAACTACCTTCTAACTTGAAATAAGACATGATCACAGTTCATAGCTCTCTTCTCACTATGAATTGGTTGCAGCTCGTCCTTATCACTGCCTCTCAAGCTCAATTCAAACAGAATAGAGACCGTTATGTAAGATAACCATATTCTTACTGATCATAATTCCTTTCTTCACTCCATTTTTGTCGGAGAAAAGAGTTATCCCCCTCTCCTGCATTTCCCTTTCCCCCTCTCTTCTCCCTCTTCTTCACAAACCGATCCCTAAACCAGCAACAACAACACAAAAATAGCCTTCGCCTCTCCCGTCTCCATCTATTGAACGCGTTGGTGGCAAGACAGGACTGCAGAAGCAAAATTTTCTAAAATCAAACTAAATTTTTTTAAGCAGACTCAACCACGAAAAAAGAGTAAAGCAACAATGCAGTAGAACCCTAAATTTAACTACAATCAAGCACATATCAGCAAGATTTTCGATTTGTCTGAGAGTTAACTACACGGAGAGAATAATTGATGCATAATTGAAATGCTCCAAGCAAGTTGAAGGCAAACCATAACTTTAGAATTTGGTCATTATAATAACCTTCAAGTATTGATGCTTCTAAGAACTATCATGTCCAACCCCCACTTATACAACTACGTAGCCATAGTAATTAGTTGTATAATAAGAAATATTACAAAGAAAACTACATAAACAACCAATGTAAGTAAATATTAAAACTAACAACTAATAAAACTTAAAATCTCTCTATTGGTATAAATGTATCTATTAGTAACTACTATGCAATCGAGTATATATGATTTTTAGGCACTGAATAAGAAAAGTATAGATGGCTCACAAATGAAGACGTAGCAACTGAAGGTAGCACACAAAAACCAAAAATAGAAAAAGAGATTAGAAAAAAGGCGAGAAAAAGTCAAACAAAGAAAAAGCCCACACAGGAATACCTCGCTAGCTTTAGGGACTCTCTGCCACAACAAACAACCTTCTTAAAAATCTAACACCCTGAGACATCAAACAAACCTCCCACGACACTAATGTAAGGCATTCCTATTGTCCAATAGGTTTGCCTAATTTAGACTTCTAAATAAATGGACTTTTCACCATTAAACCAAAACTCACAATCATTAACAGTTAATGCAAAGACATACATTTCTGAGGCCAATCACAGCATTTAAGCATAATTTTTAGTTGAAAAGAAAAACTAAGTATTTAGCTAAATGATATAGTAGAATGGACACAATCTGCTACCTACTAATGATATAAACGTGTACCGGTACCATCGTTGTATCCTGACTTGCCATTTGCAACGGGCACTTTGAAAGACAGCTGCATTTTAGAGAATAAACACCCATAACGGCGTTACGAAACCAAGCTTAATCCAAAATCTTCATATTCCACTTCGAAGACTCCATTTTCAAAAATAAGAGAGTTTAACATGTCAAATCACTCATTTGAAAAATCTCAAACAACTATTAATCAATGCAATATAATGGCACGTTCCAAATTATGTACTTGTAGGAATAATCCCAAATAATTATCAATTAATGCCCCAACTACCTAATGTGCAGAATAGCCCTGGAGCTGTGCTGTTGTTTGCGTTGGTCTACCTTCAAACATAACATAGTTGCATCACGAACCAAAGCAATTAAGCAAAAATCTTCATATTCCAAGTAGAATGACTCAATTCAATTTGGCCAACGCTTTATACATATTGTTTACCCCTGGACCTGTTGCACTTGCGCCTTCAGATCTTCGTGAACACAATACAATTGCGGAGAGGAGGCTGTCAACGGAATAAAAATTGTTAATTAAGTGAATCACCATACAACTAAACAAACGCGCTCTTCTTGATTAGCTATCAAAATAGTGGGGGTCGCTACAATCATCGGTTGCTCCCTCTGCGCCTAAGTTGTAGATATTAGGTTTCAATGAGAACTTTGAGTACATGAGGAGATATTTTGTAGTGGAGGAGATGACCCGGCGAGTAGAATAGGAAGATTTGGAGAGGCTGCGATGGGCAAAGCAGTTAAAATCGAGATTTATCGAAAACTGGGGTAAAATCAAAATCGTATAATCGAATCGTAAAATCGTAGGATTTTAAGTACCATATAGAACATAGCATATAAGAATATTAATAAGGTAAATTATTAATATCACAAAGACACATAGCATTTAAAATGATAATTCAGAAGATTTTTTTTCATAAGATAATTCTCAAGATTAATGTTCCAAAATCACTATTTTAATTGTTATTTAATGTGTAACTCAAAATAATTCTTGATGAAGGGATATAGTTCATGGGTTTGGCTCTTATTTTCATGTTATGTCTAGGTTGTTTAACTCAAAGTAATATTTCGACATCGTCTACTAAGTATGATTTAAAACTAAAAATAATTGAACTCCAATAAAATAAGTAATGTTAGTGGCTTGGTACAAATATATTCATTAATAAATTAATTAGTTAATAATGATGTTAGTTCTTACATACTTCCAATATTAGGACAGGTGTTTTACCAATAAGTTAAATGGGTTGAAGGAAAAGAGATTAACCGAACCCTAATTTGGTTATTTTTATTATTTTTGAATATTTTTCTAATAGAAAAATATCTGAGAAGATTCCATTGCCCTTTCCGCTGAAACAGTTATACTTATTTTAAATTGGCTCAAACCACCTATTTTGTTCTCTTACGATCAAAATCCCGATTTCGGTACTATTTTACGATTTTAACGATTTTAGTCCCGATTTTAAACGATTTTAAGGTCCACCGATTTTATAGTAAAATCAAGATCGGAATCCCTAAGTAAAATCCTAAAATCCTACGATTTTACGATCAAAATCCCGAATTTGACTGCATTGGCGATGGGTGCACGATTAGTGGGCCAAATAACAGTTTGGGCCCGTTTAAATGAAAACATATTTTTACTTTCGTGCTCAACAGACCGACCGCACTGGCATCTTCTAAATTTACCCCTAAAAAATTGCTCTGTACGCATCAAATTTGAAATGGAATCCCTCTTTTCTCATTTCACATTTCACATTTCACATTTATATGATGTGTAGATTGTGATGAGTGTAGATGTAGACCTGTCATTGTCCTACAAATTCATTAACACGCCAAAAAGTGGTGAAATGAGCCACCCTATTAAACACAATCTTGTATAATGATCATTGGATCCAATCATGCCAGATTATGAAGAAGTTTAAAATGTAGCGGTTATCCCGACTAAAACATTAAAAGAACCAGTCTCATATAGTTTGCACAAAGATATAATTTCTCCATAGTAATTCTGAAAAATAATATTAATTTAAGAAGTCGATCTTGCTTCTACATGTTTAATATTGCAATTCGATATGCAATATTCGAACCAGTGATATTTGGGCTGCAATTTTAGGGTTATTGTATATTTATAAAATATATAGAAATTTAAATTAAGTATTAAACTACAACTAAAATAATCAAAGTATTAAAACACCAAATAAGTACTTACGGGAGATTCAGTGGCCAACTAATCGTTAAAAAAGTCATATGATTTTCATAATTTAGGTTCGTGTATGTTTGAATTTAAATAGATACAATAAATATACTTAGTGTGGTTGGTTATGATCCTTGCTTGTCTTTAAAGAGACCAAGGTTCAAATCCCAGTGCATGCCTTTTTTATGAATAAATAAATAAGAAAATAAGCAATTGTGAAGACCAAAATGTCCTTCCTATAATCACTCTCGTTGCAGGAAATTTGAAATGGAGCAACAATTTTCATCATTCGGCTTTTATTTATTATCAAGATTACATAATCAATAAAACAACATATCTATCACACTTCCCTATATACTTTTTTCTTTTCACTATCTCTTTCACTTTTCCCCATAAAACAACATTTTCTCTCCAATTCCATTCCCCTCCAATTTTCCTTCCCATCCAAGTTTTCCCTCCCCTCCGCTCCTTTTCCTCTCCTACTTCGCAAACAGGGGGTGAAAGTGTTTGAATCCAATGTATGGAATATCTGCTTCAAGCATACCCCACTTCTCTCAGTGGTATCTATAGGAAATTATTCTAATGTAAAGCATTGTGAACATAGCAACTTTAACGAGTATAATCCGGATATGGTAGCTGCATTTGCTTCTCTCCGTGCAATCCAGAAGTTAGTTGTTGGTGCTGAGTTGCTGCAAGTAAGTTTTAATCTGCTTAATGAGAAGATATATCTGCTCATATCAATTTTGTGCTATACATCTATAACACATCTTTTGGTTTACTCTCCAGTTCTTTGCCTCAGGGAATGTCCCCTTCATCCTTCCTACACTTCTTCACCAACTGAAAGTCGTCCAACTTGAAAGCATTGTGCTATATCGTTTGTCGGAAGCACGTGTGCTTGTTTGTTTAATCACGAGCTCACCGAACTTGCAAAATCTCAGCATTTGGGTTGGTTTAGCTGTCTTGTGAATTGAAATTTTTAGTTGTGTAAAGTAGTAAATGTGAGTATTGCTGTAAATTCTATAGCCTAATTCTTTTTCTTGATGAATGATGTTGTAGTCTAGCTCTGACCCTGGCCTTCCGCAAACAGAGGCGATTGACAGCCTACAGTTGTTGTTGGAAGCAGATAACCATTCTACTGCGAGTTGTTTCCAGTGCCTTGAAGAGTTGAGGTTAGATGCAATCCTGGGTAACAAGGTAGAGCTGGACCTGTTGAGGTTTGCACTAGCCACTGCCCCGCTGCTTCGTAGGATTTACATGAAGCCGGCAAAAGAATTAGACTCCAAAAAGGGTCACAAGTTCTTGAAGAACGTGACACAATATAAGCGTGCTTCTAAAGAGGCAGAGGTCATATATATTTCAGATGACGAGGCTGACATTTTGTAGCTTCACTCACTCTTCCCGCCGTTGGGACCATCTTCCATGCATCGCGGCTTCTGTACGATTTCATGGTCCTAATTACTCCTTCGTTCCTGTAAATCATGCAAGGATGTTTGATCTATAGCTCTGTTTAGATTTTGGAGATGTGATGGCTTTTGTTTCTTGTTCGGCCTTAACATTTTGTTTCTTCTTACTTCTAACTGAACGCTAATTCTCCAAACTTAGTTGGAGATAGAACTATTGAGTTTACTCAGTTGCATAGAGATAAATCAAATCAAAGTGGTCCGAATGAAAGATTTGGGAGTAGATGAATCATATAAAATCAATAGATTAACATAGAATTGAGGAATGAGGTAGCAGTAGCACTACTGCAGGCCATGACATCTTTGAGACCAAGAGGTCCTTGAAGGCCAAAGTCCTACAGTGAGTGAGGATGTAAAAGCAGGGATCCTGCTAGCTAAGGGGTTAGCTCGTTGGAGATCTAAATGATGACAATGGATTGCATGGTAGAGGCCAGGGAGTGTTGCCTCATTTGCAATTAGAGTTCTCTTAACATTTTGTTTGTTTGTGCCCGTAAAATAAGACTTATTCTCCAAATCAATTTAAGAGTTGAGATAGAACTCCACTCTGTTCCATGGAGAAAAATCAAATGGCTAGGGTTGGTTTGGATGAAAGATTTGGAATTAGATGGATTCTGTAAAATCAATAGATTAGACTTAAACGATTTTATCGAGAGATGTTTCATGTTATAAGTATAGAATTGAGGACTGAGGCGCTGACTTATTTGCTCTGTTTTCATAGCCGGACCAGAGTTTGTATCAGAAAAGTTAATGGTTCAGGGTTTAGTGGTTAGCTGTTGCAAAACCGTTGATTAATTGTTGATAGAACCGTTCAAGATATATAACATACAAGACTTGTATGTTACAGTAATAATGAAGTTAACATTGAACAACACCAAAATATGTAATAAATCAAAATAATTTAAATTGTCTCACAAAAGAAATGATAATATTTTTAATTCAAATTAATTATTACAGTGCCAGTCAGTAGTGGACAACGTAAAGTCGACAACAAGGTTGGAAAATGAGAAGAGGAATCTGAAATAAAATTAATAACTATGGTTTGATGGTCTTAGTTTATGTTAAAGTATTTTTCTTTTAATTTTGTGGTTAAAATAGTGAAAAGATGGACTAGTTAAACCATGATGGTTTATCTGATTTTATGTTGAATAGTGAAAAACCGTTTGGTCTATCAATAACCGTCCAAACAATGAACCAGACCGCTATCATAACTGGTTTGATGGTTCTACTGGCGCAATCGTTGATACAGTTCGGTTCTTATAATAGTGCTTATTTGAGATAAAGACCTCCTTTAAGGCCAAACCCTACATTGTGGAGATTCTTTCTAGCAATGGGTTACCTTGCTGTGGAGCCCCACGGTCAGCTGGATGGACAGGCAAAGCTGGATTCGACTGTGGAACTCCTCCATTCCTCCCAAGCTGAAGGTCTTTCTATGGCAAATCTTTCACCGTTTCCTCCCCACAACGGAAGCCCTTATTGAGAAGAATATTCTGTGGCATCCTTGTTGTCGGGTTTGTTGAGCGGAGTTTGAAACTATTGAGCATCTCTTTTTGGAGTGCCCTGTAGCCCGAGCTTTGTGGGATCATGTTGGCCTAGAGCATCTAGGCCAGGGTCTCCCTCGTCATACATTTCCCCGGGATGAGTGACCCCATGCTAGTTGAACTCTTGGTCCTTTGGGAGGCGATCTTGTGGTGCGTTCAAAAGGGTTTGTCGGTGGTTCGCTTCGAGGGTGATGCTAAGATCGTTATTGATAAACTTAACCAAGCTCAAGATAGTGATAGTCGTGCTGGGGCCATTTTCTGTGAAGTTTTGAACTATTTGTCTGAGCATATAGGGTTTAGGGTGCGATTTGTAGGTCGACGTAGTAATAGGGTAACCCATTTGGTGGCTCGCAAGGCCCTTTCCTTGTACCCGACAATGTGTCGGTCTTTTGATTTTGTGGCCTGGCTTCGTTCCAGGATGTACTTATCTATTTTTTCAATCAATATATATGATTATCTTTTGTAAAAAAAGGTTACCTTGCTCCAGATGGTGTGAAGGGGTACTTGCAATCAAAGTTCTCTTGTTTTATCACGTTTCATAACTAGTTGTTGTCTGATATGATGTCTATTTGTTAGTATATATATAAGATTCTAAGGGTTGGAAAGGGCTAAATTATATGTTTGGTCCCTTAGATTATACAAATCTCTTATGTTTGTCACCTGAAAAGTTTTTATTTCTTAATTCGTCATAAACTTTACGAATCGTTTTATCAGTAGTTACTGGTTGTCTGTCTCCGTCAGACACTAATAACATCGTCAGATTTTTGATGATGTGGAAAACGAAACTGTTGATGGACTCCTAACTGGGCTGACTCTAAATGACATTCATTTGTTTAGTCAAATAGGAACTAACAAACTGAGATTAAAATTATCATCCCTGCTATAAATTGCACGTTGGACATAGAATTATATTGTTGGAGATGGAGTGGAAGGATACTTGCAAAACTCGCTCCCGACCCAATCTCATCATTACCTGATTGAACTCACTTTGATCGGGTCAAAGTAGATTGGATGCCCATGGATTTGGTTCAATTTGTCATTATGAACCAAAAGGAAAAAAGAAATAGAAAAACACTACAAATCACCAAAGTCTTAACTACAAAAAAATAGGCAAAATACACTTTCATAGCCATAACTATTCGCGTTGTGACAAATATAGCTAGATTTTGAAAAATACACTCGTATAGCCAACAAACGGTTGTTTGTGTGATGTGGCAAATTTTTGTCAAAAGCTTTTTCACTTGTATATGGCCCTATTACACCTATTTTATTAAGTGAAGGAAAAAAACAAAATAAAAAAAATGGAAAAAGAGAGATGAATTATCATCTATTCCACTTTCCCAGATCCCCCACCTTCCATCGCTCTTCTTCTTCTTCTTCTTCGTTCACCTAGACCAGTCAACGAACCCAACCACTTCATCAGACCATCATTCCCTCTATCGATCAATCCTTTCATTCATTCCAGATCTCCTTTCGTCAATCACATCCATCCCACTCTAGGCTGCACCGTCGCTAGAAGCAGAAGAAAGGATGATGTCCGACGGAACGGCAACGACAGTGGCAGAGGGAGAACAACAAGAGGAGAGAGCGGCCGTGAAGATCTCACCTCGATTCCGGCCGTTAGAGCTCATTACCTCCAGATGAGAACCCTGTATTTCTCACGAAACCATCCCCATGGAAAACAAAAAAAGAATCCCCAAATCTGAAACCCTCCATCGTCCGTCATCCGCCTATCCTCCTCCACTGCCGCTCCTCCTTACCTCTATTTTCGCTATTCTCCTCTTACCCAACTCTCATCTCCATAGCAGGGGTAAAGGGAGACGATGATGACGACTGTGATTGAGGATGAAGAAGTGCTGGTGGTGGTGGTATTTCAGAAGATGGCAGTGGTTGTTGTGTAGATCTAGTCGGAGAGTTGAGAGAGAAGACTATTCTATTTACCCATTCGTCGATCGAGATCCCCAATCTCCAGTCGTCCATAGTCGCCGTAATTTCACAGCAGCTGTCGGAGTGAAGAAGTCGTAGGGAGAGGACGAAGAATGACGAGGGGACGACGAAATTCAGCACCAGAACTGGTTTCGACAGACGGAGATCGGAAAGTGACAGACGGAGATCAGAGATCGGATCCCGTTCTCTGCTCTCTCCATTGGAAAAGGGGAAAGGAGAATTGAGAAAAAAAATTAAATGATTTTTCCTTCTTATTAGAATTATGGTCAAAACAATATTAGGGAAATTATTTAAAATAATGATTTAAACTGACACGTGGCTGACATGTGGTATACATTTGATGACATGTATATCCACATCATTGAAAAGTTAACGGTGTTAAAATTTGTAACAGAAATGGCTATAGTTATCAAGCAAGTTTTCAAAAGTGGCTATACGAGTGTATTTTTCAAAATCTGGCTATATTTGTCACAATGCGAATAGTTATGGCTACGAAAGTGTATTTTGCCAAAAAAAAAACCCTTTGAGATTTGAAAATTACAAAGAAGTCAGCCTCTTTATGTGACCCTTAGCATTTGGAAGGGTCACCCAACACTCATCAGTGGCTTGGCCCCCTACTTTCTCTGTTCGTATTACGGTAAGAGTGGGCATTGATGCGGTTGGAACTAGACCACATTGATGTGAAACTGCATCACACATTAATTGTTCCTCGCTACAAATTAATTGGTGTGGTCAAACCGAGGTAAAACGTTTAATAAAATGAAAAAAATAGATAAAATACCGAGTAATTAAACAATTAGTTGAAATATGAAGTCTTTCATTTATTCAAAGTTCTATTGAGTGAAAGTTCGATTTAAGAAAATTTTAAATCCAAAATAGAAGAAATAAAAATATATACAGAGCATAGTCAAGATAAAATGGGTCAAGACAAGATGAAATTAAGCAGGAGCATTAAAGATGCACATGATGAATGTCCCTTCTGTGGGCTGGTGGAAACACAAGAACACATCACGAGGGAATGTGACTGGGCAGGGAGGGTGTGGCGACCTAGCAACCTAGCTTAGTATTTCACGATGGGAGAAGGGAAGAGCTGCAAAACATGGCTGTGCAATCTGGTTGAGGGGACGAAGGCAGTGGCTTGGTTAAGGGAAACCCACCAAAGCCGTAGCGAAAGCGAGTTTTCATAGGGCAATTGGAAGAGCTAACCAAGGTGCTAATCACTCTTTGGTTTATGTGGAAGGAGCGTAACAACCATCTATTCAATAATCTCAAACTTGAAGAATAGGACATAGTGGTAAGGGCTCAGAATTACCTGGAGGAATACCTAGCTCAGCAATCATCGGGAAACCCAGGAACACCGCTCCCACAACCACTAACACGGATCAAATGGGAACCGTCGCCAGATGGAATCCTCAAATTGAACACAGATGCAACGATCTTAGGAGAAGAGGGAACAGGTTATGGTCTGGTAATTAGGGATGGAGCTGGAAATTTTCATATGGGAGCGACTTACCGGACGAGGACGAAATGGCCGATTGAGATGGCGGAGGCTCAGGCACTGCTCTGGGGATTAAAGCTTGCGCGAGCACATCATTTCATACCTCTATTGATGGAATCTGATTGTCAATCCCTAATCCAGAAGCTTAATTGAGGAGAGGGTACAGAGATGGAGGTGGCGGTGATTTGCGACGAGATTCGAACTATCGCCGGTGAGGAAGGAAATGTAGAATGGCGATTTTGGAGAAGAGATGGAAACATCTGTGCCCACACAATGACAACTGACAAGAACGAGAAGTAGGGTGGATGAGACGGAGATTTGGTTATCTAGACCCCCTGTCTTTTTGGTACCCCAACTTTTAGTTGATTGCAATGTAACAGCTGAACTTTCATTTTATGAATACAGGTTGGTTGTAAAAAAATGAGTCAAGACAAGATGAAATTAAACCGAGAGGCTGAGCGAAAATAGTATCTATGCTCAGTAGGGGTGGGCATCGGTTCGATTCGGTCAAAACCGAACCGAAATGATGTTTTCCGGGTCCCCGAAGTTCTCTACAGCCCAAACCAAATTCGAACCGAAATATATTTCGGTTCGGTTTGGTCGAACTGAAATATATTCCGGTTCGGTTTGGTTCGGATTTTTCACCAGCACCGAAATTCTAGCGCATTCCTTTTTTTATTGTTTGTCGTCCCATCACCTCCGCCACTAAGAAACTTCTCTACCTTTTCTTCCCCCTATCTCTCTCTCCACTCTCCAACAAACAAATTATCACTCTATCTCCTTCCCTCCTCTCTCTCTCTCTCTCTCTCTCTCGCCCCACCCCCAGCAAATAAATGATCTATCTCCCTCTCCCTCAATCTGTTCTTGTTTTTTCCCAGTGGGTCGATGCTAGATATGGAGTAATTGGTGGAGGAATGACGAGATCTGGATGTGTGGGACACTAGGTGGGCGGTGGCAGTAGGGCGACGATGCTCCAATCCTCCGATGGGTGATGATGATCCAATCCAACCGACCAGCGACAATGCAGGAACGGAGGTGGAGTGGCGGTGTCTACCAGAGTGGCGGCTAAGCGTTGGCTGCAGAGTGTTGTAGGAGTTGGGGTAGGGATAGGGATAGGGGGATGGGGCTAAAGATGTGGGAGTTGGAATAAGGATAGGAGATAGCAGATTTGTAGGCCTTGGCCTGGTGGGGAAATGGGTTGCAGGGGAGGAGAGTTTGTTGGGCTGTGGGGGATTGGCTAGGCAAGTAGTATATTTCGGTTGGTCGGTTCGGAATTCAAAAACTCGGTTCGGTCGAGAGAAGCCTGGTTTCCGAACTAGGCCTATTTCACTTCCGAATTTCGAACCGAACAGTGTAAGTTTGGTTTGGTTCGATTGTATCTCGGTTCGATTCGGACCGGTTCAGTTTTATCGAACCGGATGCCCACCCCTTGCTCAGACAGAAAACTCAAAAAGCCCCACTTTTGGGCCTTAAACAGAAACGTTTTAAGTTATGAGCGCTGGACAGAAACAGCTCAAAGTTGGAGGACCAGAATAGTAATTTACTCAAATTGGAAAGGGAATGCGTGCAGTCCCAAGTCAGAACTCAGAAGAGAGGGAATTAGGGTTTCTATCGTTCTTCGTCGCTTCCGAGAGTTCAGTGCAAGACGAAGCTACAATGTCAAGGCTGTGCGAATCAAGTGCCGACAGAATTAGCCATCTTCCTTATGATGTGATGCAGCGAATTCTCTCGTTCTTACCCGTAAATGATGCAGCCAGAACAGCCACACTGTCGAAACAATGGCGGCACAACTGGAGGGCAAATACCCAACTCGTGTTCGACGGCGATTTCGGCGAAATCTCAAAAGAGGGTAGCTATGATTCGAATGCGATTAAGCTAATGTTTCAGATTTGCAAAGCTCTGATGGTTCATGATGGACCCATAACCAAGTTCGTGCTTGAAATTCCTGGATTAAGGCGGCCTTCTCCTGATATCAACCACATCGTTCACTTCCTCGCCAAGAAAGGCGTCCAGGAGCTCGCCCTTATCTTTTCTGATGATGGAATTGACGACGGGAACCCGATGATTGAGCGAGAGATGCCTTCTGCGTTGTTTTCTGCTGGCCAACTCAGCTCTCTGATACTGCGGGACTGTGATTTCTCTGTGGCACCATCCTGGTTTCTGGGATTTAGTAAGCTTACCCATCTTGAGTTAGCAAACGTAAATGTGGAATCTAGTTTTTATAGCGACTTCCTTCCCATTTGCCCGCTTCTCCAAGATCTGAAGCTTTTTATCTGCGACTCTCATGTGGAATTCCATCTGAAGGCTGAATTAGTAGCTCCTTCGCTCAAAGTGTTTGAATCCAATGTTTGGAATGTCTGCTTCAAGCATACCCCACTTCTTTCAGTGGTATCTATCTCGCCGGTTAATGATCCAGAGGATTGTGAACAAAGCGGCTTTCATGTGTATAATCCGGATATTGCAGCTGTACTTGGCTCTCTCCCTGCAATCCAGGAGTTAGTGGTTGGCTTAGAATTGCTTCTTGTAAGTTCTCATTTTTTTTTTTCTTTTCTGAAAGCATCTGGGTTTCTCTATGAGTCAATTCATATCATTGTTCTGCTACATATATAACGTGTCTTTTTTGTTTGTTTGTTTCTTTCTGTTTTGCTCTCTAGTTCTTTGCCTCTGGTAATGTCCCCTGCATACTTCCTACACATCTTCATCACCTGAAAGTCCTCGAACTGCACTACATTCTACTGCATCGTATATCAGAAGCGCGTGTTCTTCTCTGTCTAATCACGAGTTCCCCCAATTTGCAAAGGCTTCTCATTTTGGTTGGTTTGAATGTCTCTTTTAACTGAAATTTTTAGTTTTTGCAGAATATATCAGTATCATTGTTGATTCTATAGCCTGACTTTTATTATTATGATGAATGATGTTGTAGTCCGGTGTCGACGATACCCTTCCAGAAAAAGAGGTTATTGACAGCTTACAGTTGTTGTTGTTGGGAGCAGAGGACCATTCTACTGCAAGTTGTTTTCGGTGCCTTCAAGAGTTGAGCTTAAAGGAAGTCCTGGGCACTCGTGTTGAGTTGGACCTGTTGAGGTTTGTACTAGCCACTGCCCCACTGCTTCGTAGGATTTTCATCAGGCCAGCGGGAAAACTGGATACTAGTAAAAGTCACAAATTCTTGAAGGAGATGACACAATATAAGCGCGCTTCCAAAGAAGCAGAGATCATATATTTTTGGAACGACGAGGCTGACACTTAATACTTTGTTCCTGTAAATGATGTGGCGATATTTGATCTATCGCCAATGTGAATTTTGGAGCTACGCTTAATCCTTTTTTCTTATAAATGATGCGAGGATGTTTGATCTATAGCTTAGTGTTCATTTTGAAGGCAAGAGGGTTTTTTTGTTTTTGTTTTTCGTTTGGCCTTAATCTATGTGGAAATGGATTTACTTAGTTCTACTATTTTGTATAGAGAAAGATCAAGTGGCTAAGGTTTTGACTGAATGGAACATTTGGGAGTAGATGGATTGTGCAGAATTAATATGTTGGACTTCAGAAACCATTGCAATTTATCGCGGGAGGTGGCTCTAGACAAGCATATGGTTCCAGAGAAGTGTGAGGTTTTATGCATCTACAAATTATGAGCTTTACCCTTATAACTACCGTTTCCCGCTGTGCAGAACTATGAAACTCAAGCTAGCTGCATCCCAAACAGAAGAAGTTATACTAGGCATTTTCATGGATTGTGCCACACCCTTTTCACAAGATAATAAATGCTACTACACTTCCACCACACCCTTTGTAGATTAGAATTCATAAACCGTTGTGATTTCTCATGGAAGGTGGCACGATACAAGAATATTGCCCAGAGAAGTAGAGGTTCTGTTCTATATCTACAAATTATTACGACGTTTGGAGATAAAGATCAGGTGACTAAGGGCACTTGCCTGAGTCAATCCTAGCCTTTCAAGTTCATTAAAATTCAATGACTCTAATTAATTCAATTTAATGAAGGGTAGTGTAGTAATTACATAATTCATGATTATTTTATTTTCAGAAATTAATAATTATAAAATCCAACAGCAGCGACCCCGACCGTCCAGCCCGTCTCCTCGACGATCAAAATTTCGGTGCTTCCCAGAGAGAGAGAGAGAGAGAGAGAGAGAGAGAGAGAGAGACCGGAGGAAATTTTCCGGCGACAGTGTTGGATTTTGTGATGTTTGCTGACCTATTTTGTAATGTTTGTATAGATTCGGTTTGTATTGTTTGTCATTTTTAGTGACATTTTGTACGGTTAGTATGCTTTGTACTGTTTGTCAGTTTATTTTGTAATGTTTGTACGCTTTGTTATTTTGTAATGTTTGTCGGTTTTTTTTTGTAACGTTTGTAAACTTTGCTATTTTTGTGCATCATGTTTATCATTTTTGTCAACAATTTTGTAATGTTTTTTATGTCTAAAAAACAACCTGGTTGACTTTTGGATGGAACTCCTCTATATAGGGATTAGGGATGGAGCCTCCAAAGTCAACCTGGGTGTTTTTTCCAGTTCGTATGGATTGTCGGTCTAGTTTGTCATTTTGGTCCACCATGTTCGTAATGTTTGTATATCTAAAAAACAATCAGGTTGACTTTGAGACGGAGCCCTCTAAATAGGGATGAAGCCTCCAAAGTCAACCCGGGTGTTTTTCCAGTTTGTATGAATTTTTTGTCTAATTTGTCATTTTTGTCCACCATGTTTGTATGTCTAAAAAACACCCGGGTTGACTTTGGGAAGGAGCCTCCAAAGTCAACCTGATTGTTTTTTTCGTTTTGTATGGTTTGTATTGTTTGTCGGTCTAGTTTGTATTTTTTATACAGTTCATATGTTTGTAATGTTTGTAAATCTGTTTGTATGTTTTGTCGTTCTAGTTTGTACTGTTCGTATGTTTGTATGGTTTGTACTGATTGTAAGTCCGGTTTGTATACTTCGTAATTTTCCATAATACCCAAACTACCCCTGTCATTAATTAAATAGCCCTTCCCACTTCTTAACCATCACATTGCTATATCCATATCTAAGGGCTGGGAGGGGCTTAGTCAAGTGACTAAGCACCCCCTTAATCACTGGATCCTCTCTCTGAGGTTTGCTCTAATAACTAGTCTTACCTGCTGTACAGAAATATGAAACTCAAGTATCTACATAAGTTTCTGGTATGCATTCCTATGTTTATATTTTTGAAAGACCATTGCCATGCCATGTTGCTACGGGACCGGTTAGCATGCTAACCCCTTGAGCGGTTGGAAAAATGACATCCTCTGGGGTATTAAATACAATTATAGAATTTAATACACACATTAAATACATATTAGGAATTAAATGCATCATATTAATTATTTTTTCCAAATTAAAACCTACACTAAATACATTCTCTCTCCCTATATCTGATTTTTCCTTTTTCAGCAGCCTCTGACCACCAGTCTTCCTCCGACCGCCACACTTCTTCAGTGAAAATCCCATCGACAGACTCCCTCCGACCACTTGCAAAAAATATCCCACTGCACTGATACGTTGTACCACTGCACTGGTAGCGATATTAGTGCACTGGTACCAATGTCATATCTGAGTATCAGTGCAGTGGTATAAATACCAGTACAGTGATACAACATATTAGTGCAATGGTATATTTTCGCAGGTGACCGGAGAGAGTCTGTCGGCGGGATTTTACCGGCGAAGTGTGGTGATCGGAGGAAACTTGGTGGTCAGAGGCTGTTGGGGAAGGAAGAATTAGAGATAGGATTGAGAAAGATAAAAGATGAGAGAGAGAATTGTATTTGTATATGTTAAGATTTTTTTTAAAAACAGGTAATTAATGTGGTGTATTTAATGCTTACTTTGTATTTAATAACATAACATTTATTATGTCTACTTTCATTAATACTTATCAATGATTAATAAAAAAATTGACCAATTGAGAAGGGGTGTCAAAAAACCAACCTCTTTAAGGGTAGGCATAGTATCCTACCCCTGTTGCTGCTGTCATCTTGAGTGATATGAAGAGCCTCATTATGACCTCTACCTTTTCAGTTCAATAATTTTGGATCCGAGCAATCCAGAGTGATGCATGTTTTCATAGAATATGTGCCCGATTGCATATGCATGTCTGATTATAGGCGCTGAGACCATCTCCAATAGAGGTCTAAAAAATAAAAATAAAAAATTGAACCAACCCTCTCCAATAAGGGTCGAGAGCGGTTACGGTAGTAACTGGACTCTTATAGCATGGCTACTAAGGGTAGGAATGGTATTCTGCTGCTTATTGTTTTGGTAGTGGTGCATATATTTTATTGGTAGTGTTGACATTTTAGTATTGGTATATTTGTTTGGATGGATTGGTATTAGTATATATTTGCATGAACTAAAGCCTCGCATTTGGCTAGTGTGGTTTGGAGTCGTAGTGTTGCATACTTTGTATAGTTGTACTAGTCGTGATCTACATTGCCGCATTGGTAGAGGTTTTTAATATGTAATGATTGTATTGGTACAAATTCAAAGTTGGATTGGTTGTGTTGGTATTCATTCGATTGATATTGGTATTATGATGATCATTATTGTAAAGGTATTTATTTAGCCTTATTGTGCAACGTATTGTCGTGTATGGTTAGTTTAGTATTAATTTCAGTCACGTGAGTCAGTGTTTTTTATTGGTTTCGTAGTGATTGTGTCTTTTCGTATTGGTTTGTCACAATTGATGTAGTGTGTGGGCTTTGCTATTGTTAGTAGCACGTGTTTGTAGCAACCTTCTTTCATTCCATAAAACTCAAACTGTTCCATTGCACATATAAAAATGAACACCACCATTCCATACGGTAGATCACTACCAATGTTGGCAGTTAACTACCAAAACGGTATATCACTACCAATGCATGCCAGTCTCAACAAAATTGCACACACGCACCATTGCAAGATAAAAAAACAAACAGTGCAACTGATCTTGACCACTACCATTGCAAGATCAAATAACACATCAATCCACCACAAGATCAAATAACATACCAATCCACCAAAAGATCACTACCATTGCAAGATCACTACCAATGTGCGCAGATAACTACAAAATTGGTAGATCACTACCGTTGCATACAAAGATAATTTTCTTTGCTTTTTGGTTTCCCCTTCCGCCTATGTCTTCCTCTCGCTCTCGTTACCTTCCATGTATGTATATAAATAATCCATGGCGCTCTCTCTCCATAGCTCTCTATCTCTCTCTACTCAAGACAGTGACGATGATATGAAACGATTTTCTCTCTTCCACGAGCTTCCGGTTCGGTATTGGCGGAACCGCCTGTTTCGCGGCTGGGCGACGCCGGATGGTCGGGTTTATGGGACGTCGAGGCTGGTGTGTCAGGGCTGGTGCAAGCGTGCGTCGAGGCTGGTGGAGGCGGCCGGTGGGACTAGTGCGGTGGGAGTGGTGGAGGCAGTCAGCGGAGCTTGCGGTTGTGGCAGGTTTGGCTAGAGGGAGGGGAGGATAGAAGTAGGGTTTGGGTAGCCTCTTGACGATGATGGGAGCTTGCGGCTGCAGTAGATTTTCTGTAGGGATGGGAGGGTAAAAGTAGGGTTTGAGTATAATATATAGAATAATCGGATGTGTACTCTTTTTTGTTTCCAAAATTAACCTTCAGCAATCTTAACCGTGAGATTAAAAAGAGAGGGAAAAAAGAAAAATAGATGGCTAATACGGATGTAGCTACGGTAGCTACTAGAATTTTACTTGTCACGCATTCCCCACAATACTTCTTACTTTTTTTGGTATAAATGGGACTTCATTAAATGTACAAAGCTCATCTTTAATTGTGCAGATTATGAAGCCATTTAAGGATTTAGCTTAAAAGTCAATATTTTGTAGGTCATTTTATGAACAAAGATGGTGGAGAATGTAGATGGTTATTTTAGGATTGATTGAATTAGTTATTGTGTTCTCGTTATTTATGAGATAATATTCAACATAAAAAATTATATGAAAATATTCATTTTAAGTATCTGTATAAAATATAAAAATAATAAACAAATTATCTAATGAAAATGATGAAATCTACATTAAACTAAATTAGAAGTCCAAGTGAAAATTAAGAATTTTGTCTTTTTGGATCTGCTTATTGGAGATGGTCTTATGTCTTTGAGACCTCCTTTATAATTTTCCAAGTAATAGTTGGCTATCACGTAAAATTCTCCAAATAGAAGTGAGTGGAGGGTGACCATTTAGGTAAAATGCAAATATAAAGTCAATGACTACTAAAGTATGAAAATTTCATTAGGGACAAACATGAACCACATCATAATGCATATCATAAACGTAGAAATGCATCCCATAAATCTTTAAATGCATATCCAATCGTAATAATGCATCCTATAAATCTTTAAATGCATATCACAAATTTTCATAAAAAAAATGCATATCACAAACACTAGAATGCATATAAGAGAATGCATACGGGAAATTACAAGAATGCATACAAGAAAATAAGGAATT